CTATTAATTCGCAATAGTTCGGCGGATACACTGGAGTAGGCCTGTTCCCAGGCATGAAGTCAGATTGCCGTCGAAGGTTGTGCTCGACCTCCGAAGGCGAGGCCTCAACAGCGACGTCCTCGTCGCTGCTCTCGTACAGCCGAAGAAGGAAAAGGGCTGGTTTCCCAGCGTTCCGTTCTCCACAGGCGCGAGCTCGATGGCTCCGAAAACGAACCTGCGGAGGTACTCGAGGTAGCACGCGTAGAGCCCATGGCCGCGCGCCTCGATCTGGTCCAGAGTGTCCATGTTACTGACCCAAGTGAAAAAAATATCTGTTCCACAGCCTCGAAGTCTTGGAGGCTCAGATACTCAACAGCAGGTTCACTTGAGCCTAAATTGACTTCGGACGATCTACCATTTCCATCCACTTTCACTGGACAATCCTTCACAAGGTAATCGGTGCTATCACATTCATGGCGCTTCAAGATCTGGCCGTCTCTACCTCGCGGGTTTCCCCGCCTGCCTTTGCCTTTGCCTTTGCCTGGGGTTCCCCTACGGCCTTGTCCACGGCCTTTTCCCCCGAAGAATATCTCATCATACTGATCATCCGAAAGCTTCTGGAGGAAAGCCGTGAAGCCTCGTCCGTTTAACCTTCGGCGACCCCGTTTGCCTTTGCCTTTTCCCTTGAAGCTCCTCCGTGTCCTCCTCCTAACACGACGCACTGGTTTTCGTGTAAACCTCCTCCACCTACGCTTTGCTTGTTGTAATAACCAAAACAGATGCTCGGCGCGCTGATTATCACCTTCAATTTGCATGATATCTGACCAGTCTAGTGGTTCGATGCCTTCTGATGATGTCGCGCCGGCGTCGGTGCCTGAGTCGAAATCGTCGTTGCCTAGGTAGGTGGCTACACCGTCATTCAGGGGTTCGCTTCTCCCCATAGAGAGCGGTGAGGCTGAGGTTCTCTAGGGGAGGGCTGGTTGCCCAGCTCGGTTGCGATCGATCTCCTGCTAGTGAGGCAGTAGATTCTCCAGGATCGTCGGCCCATATGTTTGAGGGCCCGTTGCCCGGCTGAGCTTCAGTGGCTAGGGTGGTATAGGAAGTTCCACTGCCCGTTCCCCTTCCCCTTCCAAACACTGATCCGATGTTGCCAGGAGACCGTTCTGACAGGTGGCCTATCGAGCGCATCCTCTCACACAGTTCTTCATACTGTTGTTGTGTTCGGCATGGCTCGCTGGTTACCAACGCCTAGGGCGCGGAATAAGATAGTCGTGAGCAGTTGGAAGTTGGGAAGGTCAAAGCCCACCGATTGTGCCTCAAGACGGGCCATTTCGAACCGAGTAATGGTTACGTCGATTCGTTCTCCGTGAAGCACATGGAAGTCGATGGGCTGATTGCCTGAGGTGAGCTGGCGCTCATCTTCCAAGCGTTCGAACTTCATCCTTAGGAGTATTAGGAGGAGCATACTGTATGTTACTGGGTCGGTGTGGACACCATCGATGTCCGCACCATCGTTTATGATGTCAGGTGGTACCCTCATGGCGAGTGTCCTCGCTAGGCCGCCCAGGCCGCGTTGTATGGCGGCTGCTTGGGCTTGTGGCGTCGTGCGTCCACTCGTGACGTTAAGCCACGCATTGACCTCGTAGACGTACTCGCGAAAGGGTACGTTGCCTTGGGGGTCCCAGTATGGGCCATGTGTTTGCCCATCGGTGCTATCATCTCCTCGGCGCATGTGTCCGATTGCCGCTCCCAGCGCAAACCAGATAATGGCGAAGATAACCAACCCTAAGCTGTGGAGGTATGGGTGGTTATCGGGCGCGTTGCCGCGCTGGGGCAGGGCTTTTAGCGCCTTGTCGAGTCTACGAGGCGCTTTTTCTTGCGGGTCTCCCCGTCTACGCTTCAAGTACTGCGCTTTTGGCTCGTTGCCGAGCGGTTGGTAGTAGCGCAGTGATGAAGCGTATATGGTACCAATGTTGTTGTCTAGAGGTCGTACCTCTCGTGTTGCTTCTTGCTCTTGAATTGATCCTCGTAGATGTCGGTGGAGTGGTGGCGCAGGGTAGAGATTGGTCACGAGGATCGTGCCGGGGAGCGTGAGGATAAGAAGAGCAAGAGCTGACCACACGAGAATGCGGCCAGCTCCGCTACCAAGTCTGAAATGACTCTGGTTGGTCATTTTGCATCCAACTCCATGTCGAAGGAATACGATATGGGGTGTGGATGAGTAAGATAAGATAAGATCGATGTAATGATCTTTCCAGCACTTAGCGAATACCAAGTCAGGTATCCGGGCAAATAGGGCGCGCGTGCCTTGAGCCATAAGACAGCGACGCGCAGGCTATACTCCCGATCATCTATAACATCTCCCAAAGAGCTACCCTTAAAGTAAGGGGAGAGGGAGGGGGAGGGGGAGAGGGAGGGGGACTGAGACGGGGAGGGTGAGGGCGACCACGACCAGCATAAGCCCAAGAAGCGTCAACAATGCTGCAACACACCTCCAGAGGGACCCAACACGGCCTCAGAGGGCCCCATCGACGGCCCAAGACGGCAACAAGACCCTCCGTCCGAAGAAGCCAGGAACGGTCCAAGAGCGGCCCAGAAGGAGGGCCCCTCGACGGCAGAAGACGGCCTGGCGCTCGGCCTCAAGCTGCCGCCCACACGGACAAGAGGGCCCCAAGACGGCCCACACGAGAAGCTCCAGACCTACACTCTCAGACACGTTACAACAATAGCGGGTCAGCGCCGATCCAGGAGGCGCGCGTTGATCCAAGGAATCTGCGAGAACCTCGAACAGCTCATGCTTGCGTATGTCGCTATTTTTTATTTCCAAACACAACGCCGCCAAGCCCCTTCCACCACTACAGTCCATCAGTGCCCAACTGCTGGAAGCCGTTGCCCTTGGCTCCACCAGAGAAGTACAAGCAAACATTAAATGCCCAAACATATACGCCGGACGGCAAGGAAGTGCACAATGGCCAAACCGTCATAGGCGAGCCAACGTATGGACCCGAGCCTCCATAGGCGAGCACCACTGTGATCAAAACGATGGTAACAAGCATCTTCGCCGTGACCAGCGCGACAATCCCCAGCAAAATTACCGTGACCAGCACGACAGTATCCAGCAGCACCACCGCGACCAGCACGACGGTGACCAACACGACGGAGGCAGACGGAGGCAGACGGAGGCAGACGGAGGAGACGGATGAGAAGGCCAAGTCCCATACCGATCAATTCGCCGACTCCCGCGCCGACCAGCGCACTGCCTCCCGTACCGGCCAACTCACCAACTCCCGCACCGAGCACCTCGTCGACTTCCGCGCCGACCAGCTCACCGACGCCCTCACCGACCTGCTCGCCGACTCCCGTGCCGACCAGCTCGCCGACTCACGCGCCGAGTGGCTCGCCGTCTCCCGCACAGACCAGCTCACCGACTCCGGCACCGACCCGCTTGGCGTATCCCGCGTCGACCAGCTCACCGACTCCCGAGCCGACCAGCTCGCCGACTCCCGCACCGACCAGCTTGCCGACTCCCGCACCGATCAGCTTGCCGACTCCCGTGCTGGCCAGCTCATCGACCCCTGCGCCGACCCCGACTCCCAGCCCGACCTGCTCACCGATTCCCGCACCGACCTGCTCACCGACTCCTGCTCCTACACTCGTTCCTGTCTCAGTCGGGTCCTATGCCGGCTCCGACGCCAGCGCCGCATCCCACTCCTTCTGCCGCTCTGGTGCCTACACACCGCGACAGCTCCCAGCAGCGTGACGATGGGGCAGCAGTATGACGATGAGCGGCGCCACGTAGACTATTACGTATGCCATGGTATACCACCGCAGCTCCGACATACAAGAGTGGCATGGGCAGTCTGACGAAACCCGCCATCCGCGGATGGCATGAGCAGTCCGACACGTGCCATGAGCTGCAGCAGCCTCCAGAGTCATGCGGCTCTTCCGCAGAACCACGCGCAGCAGCACCAGCGCACCCAGCAGCTCCATTCAGCCCCAGGATCCCATCATCGGCCGCACGACGTCCGGCAGCAGTGGAGGGCAGCAAAATGGCCCTGGCGTCCAGGCCTGGAACGTGCAGTGTGACAGCTCAGTCTTGCACAGCAGGGCATGGCTGTAAGCAGCACCCTCCCGGGCAGCCGCCGCCGCTGCAGCCCTAGGGGTATCCTCGCCTGGCACTGTCCGTCCTTGTAGGCCGCTTTGGTTTTTCGGGGGCCGCCTCAGCATAGCTCAATGGTTCCGGCGGGGCTTGGCTCCCTCTTGGCCGCTTCACTTTATCATGTTTATGACGTGTGCTTCGCACCAAGATTTAGTGCACTGGTGAGTGCCATTCGTGCTCCAGGCTGGGTCTGCCAGGCGCGCTCGTGCATTGTAGCTTTGCATTGTTCCCAACGCGGCGTATTACTCTGCGCCTTGGCCATCTGGGCCTCATGCGCGTTTACATGTCCCCCTCCTCTGCTTCGCTTCGGGGCTGTAGCTCGCCTAGTGCAGGTTGGCCTGTGCTCCGCTCGTGTTGCTCTTGCTCGGTCTTCGTGTTTCCTCTTCCTCTCTCTCTCTCTATCTTCCTCTGCTGTTCTTTTCTCCTTCCTGCTTGTTCCTCTTTAGTTGTGCTGGTTTTGTTGCTGTGGCCGTCGGTGCCATAGGGGTGCTCACACAAATTTGCGTATGTCGCCATTCTTCCTCCAGGAGTGAAAACGTCTGAACCACTTTGGCTCACTTGCCTACGCGTCCACCATGGATGCACGGCCGAAGTCAGTCCGTCAGATAGGGTCCCAGGAGACTCTGGAAAGGTCCAGTAAAGCCCACGGGCGCGGACTCACCCCTCCTCATCGGATCCTTCTCTTCCTCTCCTCTTCTTCCTGCCCCTCCTCCTTCTCCTACCTCCTCATCCCCCCCTCCTCCTCCTCCTCCTCCTCCTCCTCCTCCTTCTGCTGGTAGTGTGCCTGTAGCTGTACAAACATATATATATATAGAGAGAGAGAGAGGACCAACCATAATTACTGGAAAAAAAAGCGGGCCGCCGTGCCCGCGGTGACGAAGCGCCAGACCTTCACCGGGCGCTCCTGGCCGGCCCGCAAGGCACGGCCAACCGCCTGCATCTCGCACGCGACCGCAGCCTCGCGCGCGCGCGCGGGTCGACCTCGTCGTCGTCGTCGTCGTCGTCGTCGTCGTCGTCGTCGTCGTCGTCGTCGTCGGTGCCGCTGGCGCCGCCTCCGAAAATCACTGATCTTCGGCGGCGGCGAATGATAATCCGCCGTTCGATTGCCCTGCCGGGCTCATGTTGCTGCCCGAGCGGATCGGGATGAGGAAATATGTCTTATCAGACGCAACAAAATAAACAGTGTAACCGACAGGTGCTTGAACAAGGACTCTCCGAGGTCCATGTGGACCTTCGAAAGTTGATGCTTCATGCAGGTTCTTGCTCTTCGGGGGGGGACGTCGGTATCGGTACTCGGGTGCTCTAAGGAGGGGGGCCAGGAAATGGGGGGGCCATCGTGGCCGGAAGCATGTGCGCGGACGGGGGGGGGGCCAGGGGACGTGCCGAAAGAAGAAGAAGAGGCGGCCATGGAAATCTGGGAGACATCATGCCCCTGGCCGCGACATCGCCCCCAGTCCTCAACCCCTTTCTTGGACCCCCACAAGATCTCTGGGCCTCGCGCGTGCCCGAGACGACCGGATGGAACAATATCACGTGGTTGGCGCGGGTGAGGTTCGTCCCCGAGGCGGAGTCCTGGAGCCGCGGTCTCAGCTCGGCCGTCCCAATGAGGATGGTTCCAGGGCGGGGTCAGGAGCGGTGAAGCAGAAAGAAAGCTTGGGGACAAGAAGGGGAGGGAATGAGGGAGAGAGAGGGCGGCCTCCTCCCTCCTTCTTCGTCCTCGTCCTTCTCCTCCTCCTCCTCGTCCTCCACCTCATGCTCACCATCATGACGACCATAATCATCATCATCAGCAGCATCATCACCACCACAACCGCCACCAACACCACCACTATCATTATCATCATCAACATCATCATCATATTCATCATAATCATCATCAACAACATCAGCATCGCTGTCAACAGCATCACTACCACCATCACCACCACCATCACCATCATCATCATTATCATCATAGTCGTGACCATCATCAATCATCATCATCTCCACCACTACATCATCATCATCAACAGCAACATCATCACCACCATAATCAACAGCACCTTCATCATCCTTATCAGCATCATCATCCTCATCCTCATCCTCATCCTCATCCTCATCCTCATCCTCATCCTCATCCTCATCATCATCATCATCATCATCATCATCATCATCATCATCATCGGCATCGTCATCGCCATCGTCATCATCGTCTTCGCCTTCCTCTCCCATTTTTTGTTGTGACCCAGCGCGCGCAGGATGCACGAGAGTGCGAGAGAGCGGGAATGGGGGTGGAGCGGGAGCAGCCAAGCAGACAGGAGGAAGGGAGGGAGGGCGCGAGGGAGGGAGGGACGAGTAAGAGGAGGAGCTATATAAGAGGAGGAGGAGGAGCTATGTAGGAGGAGGGGGGGGGACAACGAGGACGACGAAGGCGAGGAAAGAGGACAAGGAAGGAGAAGGAGAAGGAAAAGAGGTGTCGTTTTTGTTTCGGCAACACATCAAACATGATTTGCTTCAAGTGATCCGACGGCAGTGCCACGGACACGGTACTACGCCTTGTCCAACAAAAACAGTTCCTCCCTGCCGCACGAATCCCCACATCGGTGCAGGCTACAGGGGCTATGGCCCATAAAGCGGGGTTCGAACGTTTTGCTCACCCCGAGTCGCACCGAGAAGCACTGAAAGGAGGAGGGAGGGGAGGGGAAGAGAAGGCCGAGGAGGGAAGGAGGGCAGCGTAGCCGCCAACATTTCGACTGTCCCACACGCCGACTGCTTTAAACTCTGGCCCCTGCCAGAAACAAATAAAGCACAGGCCACAGAAGGAGGCGCAGCAGGAGGGATGATAAGCCGAGAGGCGTGCTCGACCCCACTCAGCGCAGCCAGTGAAACAGTGCAGTGCCGACCTAGGGGAGAAACAAGAGGAGACAGAAAGAGAGAGAGAGAGAGAAGAAGAAACGCGAAGAGAAGGGGACAGCGCGCCGGAGAAACAATATCTAATGGACGCCAGGACACAGCCAAGGGCTCCACTGGCGGGCCATCCACGCTCGGGCAGTACTAACAGTCCCAATCGGGAGCGATCATGGCGCACCGAAGCCACTAGCGGCGTCCGCCCCCGCGGAACGGAGGGACAGAGGCTTCTGAGTGGGCGGGCGCCCCGAGCTGGGCACAGAGCCCGTCTGCACTATACTAATTAATACACGCGCGACCGATCGACACAGGAGGAGAAGGAAAAGCACAGAGAGGAGGAAGGGAGGCCCAATGATGGGGAAGGGACAAGCAGGCCGAACTCAAGAGGCGAATCCGATGTACATGAACCCGATGCACCTGTGAGTGGCCCAGACACCACCCCATGAGGCACTCCCAGAGAGCGCAATCCAAGACCAAAGTACCAGAGAGAGGACCTTGATGCTCATCACCGTGTGAGTGGCCCGAGCACCACCCCATACATTCAAGAGCGGATTACAGCGTCGTGCTGTGGGAGACGTGCTGTTGGGTGTCGTGCTGCTCGTAGACGTCCTGGTGCGCCCGACGATGCTTAGAGTCCCGGGTGCTGCACAGCGTTGCGCTGCTGAACGCTGGCCTGCCGTGGCCCGCAGTGCGGAGCCCCTCGTCGAAATGGTGGTCGTCGTAATCGTGCAGCTGCTGGTCATCGTGGTCTCGCCGCTCAGCGTCGTGCCGCTGCGACTGAAGGCAATCGTCGAACACGCGGTGGCCGTCGTATCCATGGAGCTGCTGTCCGTCGCGGGCCTGCCGCGCAGCTACGTCGTGCCGCCTGTTCCAGAGCAACGCGTAGAAAACGTAGTGGCTGTCGTATCCCTGGAGCTGATGGCCGTCGTTGATGCTAGCGTCGGTGCTGGCGTTGATGCCAGCGTAGGCACAGGCGTTGATGCTGGTAACGATGCTGGCGTTGGTGCTGGCGGACACGCCGGCGTTAGAGCAGGCGTTGGTGCAGGCGTGGGAGCTGCTGTAGGCGCTGGCGTTGTTGCCGGCGGAGGCGCCAGCGTTGGTATATAGGCGCTGGCGCCGGCGCTGGTTTAGGCGAGGCGTCGGCGTTGATGCTGGCGTCAGTGCTGATGTCGGCGCTGGCGCAGGCGTCGGCGTACGTGCTGGCGACGGTGCTGGTATAAGTGCGGGTGTAGGCGCTGGCGTTGGAGCTAGGGCAGGCGCTGGCGTTCGTGTTTGCCTCAGTGCTGGCGTCGGTGCTGGTGTCGGCGCTGGCGCTGGTGCAGGCGTAGGCGCTGGCGTTGCTCTTCTCCCTGAAAAGAAGGAAGAGGAGGTGTCGGGAAGGCTTTTCTTTAAGCAACGAATGCGTTAGGGGTCCCAGTGCTGATGTAAGTAAAGGCCCGTTCTGAATCCTGGAACGCGTGTGCCGCGCCGCCCGCCTGCTGTGCCCGTGCCTTCCCCGTGTGCCGTGCCGTGCTGTCGTTTTGCCGTGCCGTGCGCGTGCCGTACCTGAGTTCTGGAAGCCAGGAAACGCGCCGCCCGCGTGACGTGGCCGTGTGACGCTCCGCTGTGCCGGTGCTGCGCGCGTGCCGTACCCGCACTCGGAATAGCGAGGGAGCTGAATACACAGCATTTGCCGTGACGTGCCCTGCCGACCATATGTCTGTCTGATCATGCAGCTTTGGTGATAAGGGCCTCTGTGCCGCTGTAATCCCACCAGCCCTTTCGGGCGCAGGTGGTCTAGGGAGCTTCCTCTTCCAACCCCCTTCTTCCCCTTCGGGGAGGGGTTTGCCTCTCCCCCTACCCCCTACCCTGGACCTGGACGGGGGGGTCCGCGGGTAGTTGGAGCGTCCAAAACGGCCCCGGCGAGGAAGCCAAAACCGTTGGTTTTACTCCGGTTCTGGCCCCATGTTGGCCTCCTGGGAGGGGGGGGGCCTGATTAAGGAGCTACCCTCCTCTGATCGATCTCACCCAAGATGGCCCAAAGATGGTCCCCAAGGGTCCCAAGGGTGCCCCAAGAGGGCCCCAAGGGGTGGCTAGGAGGCCCCAAGAGGCCCCCAAGAGGCCCCCAGGATGCCCCCAAGAGGCTCCCAAGAGACCCCCCAAAGGCCCCCCAGAGGCACCCAAGACGCTCCAAGAGGCCTCGGCGATCATTCCAAAATCATTGAATGTACTAAGGTTTTGGCCTCATATCGTGGGTCAGGGGAGCATCGGCATAGCATCAGCATGAGCAGTCAGCAGCGATTCGGGGGATGCCAGCCCATCCTCGGACGCAAGGTGTGTGTGAATCTGGACGCACTTTGTAAGCTGACCTGTTCTCTTCCCTCTGATGCCGCCAGCTTTCTGTTACCATTTGTCCCCCCCTGTCCCCCCTAAGTGGGCTGCCGCTGGATACAGTAATTAACCAACGGCGGTGGGGGAAGGCGGCTCAGGTGACCGGAAAACGTTTCCCAGTTTTTCCGGTCTGGACATAGCATGGTGTAGCATAGACAGACTTCTGACGGCACTTTACGCTGTCACGGTGTCTGCGCTGGCCCCTGCTGGATATGCATGCTGCATGTGCTGCGCACTCATTACACAGTATACGAGGTTAACCTGACGGTCTGGACGGGCCGTGGATTTTCGGAAGTGTGTTCAGCGCGTTCCGGCAGAGCCCTGCCGGAACACGCTGGTGAGCACCCGGGCCGTGCTGTGTGGTGCGTGAGGCATAGCATGGCATGGCGCAAGGCGCATAGGCCACGCGGCCGGGACATATAATTAGGTTGATATCTTTGTTGCCAGTGTGTTGCATCCACTTGCGTACGGCAGAGCGGCGACCGTTTAGATTGCCACAGTGTGCCGTCTTAGTGTCGCGGGGGCGGTGGCAACGCCACTCCTGCGAAGCGTCACGGGGGTGGTGGCAACGCCACTCCTGCGATGCGAGTTTGCATCCGGAACTGCTTGGCTCAAGTCACGAGGAAAAATGGTACACACGCGAACCGAAGAAGAACGGCTGCGCCGTTTCTTGGTCCGCGTGGCCACCAGCGTGTCATCCCTACTATCCCTCCACCTTCACATCCCTCTTGACCCAAATACGTCACACCATTTCCCATTCAGCCCATCAGTAACACGACAGATATTGTCTCTCCTTGCCGAGGGCACTGACGTGCAGGAGCTGTTGGATAGATTCGGAGACAGGTGAACATGGCAGATGACACGAACATGATTTCAAGGGTTATGAGCCCAAGCGTCCGCCACGGCGCTAGTGGTTCCATGTCGCCGTATTCGCTCGGCCCGCCCGCTGCGCTGACGCGCGCGCGGTGCCGCGCTTGCGGGGACTTCGTCATCGGCTACGTCCTGAACTGCACCATCTGCGACTCCGAGGTGCACGCCCATTGCATGACGCCGTATCAGGGTCATCCAGTGTGCCACGCGTGCCACGCCGAGCGCGACTACATGATGGCGCAGCGGCAGGCAGCGTGGAGTGGCCATATCGCCCAACAAGTCGCACGCACTGCGGCGAGTGGGGCGCAGCTGGTTGGCCACACGCTGGGGGCTACCCTTTCGACCGCTGCGACGGGGGCAGCCCGGCTTGCAATCGGAGCAGCCGCCGGGGTGAGGCAGTCTTGGAGTGCTGGCGCGATGATGCCGCACCCAGTCTCCCCGATCCCCGAACCGACGACGACGCCCGCGGAGCAATCCGCACAGAGCTCCCAGCACAGCCAGCCGGGAGGACATGCTGACCAGAACGACGTGATGAGCATCATGGTGGCAGAGCTTCGCGAGCTCCGCCTGGAGGTTCAACGCCTCAGCCGCCGCAACGAGCAGCTGGAGGCGGAACGGCTCGCCGACCGCGCGGCGGCGGCCGTTCACCAGCAGGGGTACCAGACGCCCCTGGCCGCCGAGGATTCGGCGGCACACGACACACCCTCTCCTCAGCACGAGGCGCCGATGGCCACGGCGCAGCAGGGTGAGTCGAGCGGCGGTGGTGGTATGCCGCACAATGGTGGTGGTGGTGAGGCGACCGTCGAGAACAGCGAGCTGATCACCGCTGTCGCGGACGCCCTTGCGGAGACTGCGCTTTCGGCGCCTCCGCAGCAGCAGCCTCCAGCGGGGCTGCGCGAGACGTTCTTCGGGGAGGTTGCAGCAGCCGCCTCCGATGGCGATGGGGCGGCCGCAGCTTCGGCGAGCGCCGGGGCCGCGGCCGCACAGCAGTCGCTTCAGCAGCACCCGCCGCAGCAGCCGGGCGGCGGGCCGCCGGGGCTGCCTTCGCCTTGGCCGCCGCCAGGGTGGCCGGCAGGTGGAGGAGGGGGTGCAGGAGGTGGTTTTCCAGGAGGTGGTGGAGGCGGCGGGGGCTTCCCAGGAGCAGGAGGAGGACCAGGAGATCCAGGACGCGGAGCAGGCGGTTGGATGCCTGGTGGCGGAGCTCCGCCTCCACCGCCGCCACCGGGGGATACTTCGACGGCAGCCGCCGCAGCAGAGGACGGGCCGCGCGCAGGCGATGGCCTCGACACGGTCCTCGCGAAGCTGAGGGAGAGCGACCTGATGAAGCTGGAGTTCGTGAAGGGGCAGCCGAAGGCCAGCGCGCTCGAGGACTGGCTGCAGCGGGCCGGTCTGAAGGTGGGCGGCTGGCACAGGCGCATCGACGCGTTCTGGAAGGACGCGGTGGCGGTCGCGCAGGAGGGCTACGCCGAGTACCTGAAGCTGACGCCGATGCAGCGCCCGCTCGTCCGCCCTCGCCTTGACTGGCTGGCGGGCGACGCGAAGTTGCAGGACATCGAGCTCAAGCTGCGCCCCATCCTCCTCGAGGCGGTCCCCGATTCGGTTCGGCAGGAAGCCTTGGCCACCAGGGCGACCAGCACTGTCGAGATTCTGTTCGCCACCATGGTGGCGGCAGGCCCCGGGACCCTGAAGGACAAGACTGAGGTCTTGGCGTCCGTGGAGCGGAGGGGCCTGCCGGCCGTTGAATTGAAGTCAGTGCACGATCAGCTGCAGAAGTGGCACTTCAATTTGGTTCGGTTGCAGCGTCTGTCGATGCAGCCGCCCGACCCCACTGTCCAAATCGGGGTCCTGAGGAACATGGTGGGCAGGATGATCGAGCACGACGCGAGCTTCCAGCACCGCATCTTCGCCTGGGAGATGCAGCACGGGATCAGCGGAGCATCTCAGTGCACCCAAGGCCAAGTTGATGAGTACTGGCGCTATCTCTCGGCCGAGTCCCGGGAGATCTCGGATTCGCCCGCGCCCGGCAAGGGCGCCGCCGTGAAGGCGCAGATCGCTCGCCTGGAGGCGCTCCTGGCTAAAGGCGGGGCGAAGGGCGACCAGGGCAAGGCTAAGACAAAGGACGATAAGGGCAAGTCCAAGGGCGCCCTGGGCAAGGCCAAGGGGGACAAGGATAAGGACAAGAGCAAGGTAGGCAAGGTGGACTTGGCCGGCGGCGGCGCGCCCCAGGTCAAGAAGCCGTGCCGTGATTTCGAGAGCGATCGCGGCTGCAAGAACGGCGCCGGGTGCCAGTGGCACCATCGGGCGCTCCAGCCGTGGGAGCATAAATGCTTCAATTGCGGCAGCAAGTCGCACTCGAAGGCCGAATGCCCGCACCCGCGGGCGGCAGGGGCCCAGCAGCAGCACCCGCGGCAGCAGCCTCAGCCGCTGGCGGCTGCAGCAGCCGCAGGCGCCGCCGGAGCAGCATCGACCTCGAGCACGGAGCCGCCCCTGACGGCCGCTGGCGTGCAGGAGGCGGTGGCCAGAGCGATGCAGAGCCTCGCGGTTCAGGGCGACAGCTGCCACGTCGGCTGGGCAGACCCGTTCGGGGCGCCGCCGCTTCGGCAGCAGCAGCAGCCGGAGCAGCCGCAGCCGCAGTTCCGCATGCTCCAGGTGCTGGGTCCCAGGACGGCGACGGCGGCAGCAGCAGGCTCAGGGAGGATTCGCAAGGACCGTCTGCTGTGCGACACCGGTGCTTCGCATGAGCTGCAGCACCTGTGGCCGCACGAGGCGCCGCCGGCACGGTCGGTTCAGACGTCTCTGGGACTGGCCGTCGGGGACAGGCGCGGGGTCCACGTGAGCGAGGACGACGTCGTGTACGTGCACTCGCCCACGCCCGTCGAGCCCCTCTTCCCTATCGGCGTGTACATGCACGAGTTGGGGCTTGACCTCCTCTGGGGATCTCAGCGCGCAGCGGTGGTGATGCCGCGCGGCGGGACCATGGAGCTGGAGCTCGAGAACGGCATGGCGTACATCAGCGAGCAGGACGCGGAGGTTCTCCGACAGATGCGTCGACGACTTCGCCTTCAACGCGGCGCGGCTCGTTTCCGGGCAGGGGCCCTTGCGGCGGTGATTCAGCTCAGCCTCGCAGAGCACAAGGCTGGCGGACACCGCAACTTCCGCCCAGATTGCGCGGAGTGCAGGCTTGCAGCAGGCAGGCTTCGCCATCACTGGCGCCTGGAAGCCGACACGAGGCCTGGCGGCCAGCTGTCGGCAGACATTTCTGGGCCGCATCCGCCTGCGAGGTGGCCATCCGCACTCCAGGAGGATAGGCCTCGTCAGCCCCGCTTCTTCTTGCTGTGCGCGTACTGCGTGTTCACCGTCGCGGAGCAGGAGCAGGCGGCCGAGAACGAGCGGTTCGCGCGTGACGGGCCGAAGGTGGAGGTCAAGGGCGAGCCGGCGCAGGTCAAGGCGGAGGCTGCGGATGGGCCCGGCGCGGATGACCAGGCCGCAGTGGCGAAGCTGATCGCGGTCTTCGAGGCGACGGCGAAAGCTGCCTCCCCAGGCGGCTTCGAAGACCAGGGCGACGAGATCTTGGTCGACTTGCCTGGCGACATGGAGGCGGGCAGACGCACGTGGTACTTCACGTGGCCGTTGGTGTCCAAGTCGGCGGCCGAGGTGATGAAGGCGCTGGAGCTGATCATCGCCCAGATCGGCTTGGAATTCCAGTGCAAGGCAGTGTTCAGGATGCATGCGGACGGAGCTCGGGAGCTCTCCGGCCCACAGGTCCGCGCAGGGCTCGCTGGCCAGGGGATCGTGGTGACCTCGACCCCAGGGTACGAGCCGGATAACAATCCCCGTGCTGAGCGAGGGATTGGGGTGGTGAAGCAGCGGGCGCGCGCTATGCTCATGGCGCTTCCGCCTGCCGATCGCGAGCAGCTGTGGCCAGCTGCCGTCCAGCACTCCTCGGCGCTGCAGCGGAGGGAAGCGCAGGGCAGACCAACAAGCTGCCCGCCCTTCGGCGCCCCGGTGACCTGCAAAATCAAGCAGAAACCATCCTTCGCCTTCGCGCCGAGGGCCGCGGACCGCGTCTTCCTCGGCATTGCGGACTTCGTCAGCTCGGCGGCGCTCGTGGGCTACCGGGTCACGAAGCACGGGGTGACGAAATGGGAGTTCGAGACGTCAAGTTCGTTCGTCCCGCACCCGCCTCCGCCGAGGCTCCGAGGAACGCCGGCGCCCGGAGGGCCTGCCTGTTCTGCTGAGTTGCCCAGCCCTGCCGCGGCGCAGCCTTGCAAGGGCCAGGAGGAGCACGGTGCCGGAGCGGCCCCAGCAGCCGACGAGGACAACGGCCTCGGCCAGAGCGACGTCGGCAGGCGACTTCGTGGCAAGCAGCCTGCGCGTGCGCAGCAGCAGCATCGGCTTCAGGAGGAGCCTGCAGGAGGAGCTGGCGCGCCTGGCGCTCCCGGAGGGCCTCCGGCAGCAGCGAGGGTCGAAAAGCGTGCTCCCTTGGAGCGGAAGCTCCGTGGCTGGGAGCCGGCAGAGCTGAATGAGGACGACTTCGACGACGAGCTCCCCGAGTTCCACGAGGTGCTGAAGGACTCGGGGATGCAGCCAGTGTCTGGGCAGGAGCTGCGGCGGGCCACGGGCGCCGAGAGGGACGAGTGGTTCACAGCGTTGGCAAACGAACTCGCGTCCTTCAACGAGAAGGCGGTGTTCGAGACGCTGCCGCCGCAGGAGCGCGGGACTGTGAAGATGAGCGAGATCCTGCCCATGAAGATTGTGGCTGGGATCAAACCTCCAAAGCCGGAGGACCCGCAGAGGAGGAGGCGCAAGAAGACGAGAGGAGTAGTATGTGGGAATTGGCAGCCCCATTCCCCGGATGAGCAGGTCTTCACACAGAATGTGGAGATATCGTCTGTGCGCATGGCGCTGGCAATTGCGGCGGAATGCCGTTGGAAGCTGCTGGCGTTGGACGTCAGCACGGCGTTTTTGAACGCCCCGCTGCCGAAGGAGAGCGGCCGCGTGGTGGTGCGGCCGCCCGCTCTCATGGTCCACTACGGGCTGGTAGCGGCAGACGAGCTGTGGGTCGCCAAGAAGGGGATCTACGGCCTCAGGGTGGCGCCGCGGGCGTGGGGCCTGCAGCGAGATTCTGACATGCGCGGCATGCGCGTGCAGGTCGGCGGACGTGAGTGCAAGTTGGCCCAGAGCCACTGCGACGCCTCGGTCTGGATGGCCACGCCGGCGTTGGAGCCGAAGCTCGAGGCGGACAGGGAGCTGCTCGGCCTGGTGGTGGTGTACGTCGACGACTTCCTGGTGATCGGCCCCGACGGCGTGATCGACGTGGTGGAGGCGAAGCTGAACACGTTTTGGGCCTGCAGCTCGCAGGTGCGCATCGGCTTCGACGCTCCCGGGAAGCTCACCTACTTGAGCTTAGAGGTGGAGGCTCGTTCGGACCACTTCGCAGTTCACCAGGGCCAGTACATCGACGACATGTTGGCCAAATGGGGACTTCAGGGCGGCAACGCCTGCAGCACCATCGCGTTCGAGCCCGTGCCTGACCGCAGCGATCATGATGACGAGCCTGACCTGGCTGAGGTCAAGCTGGCGCAGAAGATGGGGGGAGGGCTGTTGTGGCTGTCGACCCGCAGCCGACCCGACATTGCTTTCGCAGTGTCGCGGCTCAGCTCGCACGCCTGCCGTGCCCCCACTTGGGCATTGAAGCTGGGCAAGCGCATCCTGCGCTACGTGCTGGGGACGCGCCGCTTCGGCCTCGTCGTGCGCCCGTTTTCTGGCAGCCCTGGCGCCCACCGCGCCGGAAGGCCGCTCGAGCTGAAGTTGGACGTGTACGCGGACGCCAGCTTCGAGACGGACACCTCGCAGTCCGGGGTGGCGGTGTTCGTGGGGGACGTCCTGGTGGACTGGCGCAGCCAGAGACAGCCCCAGGTCGCCCGCAGCACGGCAGAAGCGGAGGTCACAGCGCTCAACGTGGGCCTCCTGATGCTCGAGGGGGCCGAGGCGACGCTGTGTTCCATGGGCGTGCGGCTGTCGGTGCCGACGCTGTGGGGTGACAACGCAGCATCACTCTTCCTGGCGCGCGGTCAGGGGAGCTGGCGCACTCGTGCCCTGGCTAACCGGGCGGCGGCACTGAGGTCGAGGCTGGAGATGGGCACGCTGGACCTCGTGAAGGTGGCCAGCGAGGACCAACGCGCCGACGGCCTCACGAAGGTCTTCGCGGCGCCTGCGATGGCCCGCATCCGGGCCCACTTCAACCTGCAGCAGGTGTTGGCGGACTGATCGTCATCGTAGCCGCCGTGCGTCTGTGCATTGCACTTCGACTCTCTCCGGCCGCCGGCCGGGTAGACGTCACCATTTTCAAGGCGCGACCGTTTAGGTTGCCACGGCATGCGTGCTTGACATTGTGTGTCTGCGCGCATGTTGTGTGTGCGTGGTAGATCGGGCTTTGACTTTGCATCAATCGGCCGACGCCTGCCGCGCGCCGAAGATAGCATGGATGTCAAGTATTTCTATCGGTGTTGGGCCCGAGCAGGCGTCCCACCATAGAATGTGCTCGTGCCCGAGTCCGGGGCCATTGCCGATTTTTGTTGCGTTGGCTCCGTCATTGCATGTTTTTCGTCGCTGCGCGATTGCATTTTCGAGTGTTGCCGATTCCCCCCATGCCCCTGCGAGCCATCTGTCTCGCGAAGCTTCGGCCGCTCCTGGCCGGGAGGGCCGAAGAGGAGGAGCGTGGGTCAGGGGAGCATCGGCATAGCATCAGCATGAGCAGTCAGCAGCGATTCGGGGGATGCCAGCCCATCCTCGGACGCAAGGTGTGTGTGAATCTGGACGCACTTTGTAAGCTGACCTGTTCTCTTCCCTCTGATGCCGCCAGCTTTCTGTTACCATTTGTCCCCCCCTGTCCCCCCTAAGTGGGCTGCCGCTGGATACAGTAATTAACCAACGGCGGTGGGGGAAGGCGGCTCAGGTGACCGGAAAACGTTTCCCAGTTTTTCCGGTCTGGACATAGCATGGTGTAGCATAGACAGACTTCTGACGGCACTTTACGCTGTCACGGTGTCTGCGCTGGCCCCTGCTGGATATGCATGCTGCATGTGCTGCGCACTCATTACACAGTATACGAGGTTAACCTGACGGTCTGGACGGGCCGTGGATTTTCGGAAGTGTGTTCAGCGCGTTCCGGCAGAGCCCTGCCGGAACACGCTGGTGAGCACCCGGGCCGTGCTGTGTGGTGCGTGAGGCATAGCATGGCATGGCGCAAGGCGCATAGGCCACGCGGCCGGGACATATAATTAGGTTGATATCTTTGTTGCCAGTGTGTTGCATCCACTTGCGTACGGCAGAGCGGCGACCGTTTAGATTGCCACAGTGTGCCGTCTTAGTGTCGCGGGGGCGGTGGCAACGCCACTCCTGCGAAGCGTCACGGGGGTGGTGGCAACGCCACTCCTGCGATGCGAGTTTGCATCCGGAACTGCTTGGCTCAAGTCACGAGGAAAAATGGTACACACGCGAACCGAAGAAGAACGGCTGCGCCGTTTCTTGGTCCGCGTGGCCACCAGCGTGTCATCCCTACTATCCCTCCACCTTCACATCCCTCTTGACCCAAATACGTCACACCATTTCCCATTCAGCCCATCAGTAACACGACAGATATTGTCTCTCCTTGCCGAGGGCACTGACGTGCAGGAGCTGTTGGATAGATTCGGAGACAGGTGAACATGGCAGATGACACGAACATGATTTCAAGCATATTGGCCTGCAGGGGGGGGGCACTGATTAAGATGATTCCAAGAGCGCCTGGGAGAGCCCAAGATGACCTCCCAAATGGCTCAAGATATCCCAAGATGCCTCAAGATGGCTCCCACGATGCTCCACGAGGCCCCAAGACCGTTCCAAGGCGGCTCGAAATGACCAAAGAGCTCCCCCAGGAGGCCCCGAAGAAGCCCAAATCCTTCCAAAACTTGAGGAACATCAATGTGTTTGGCTTTCTCGCCTTTTCGCTTCCCATGGCCATCCGAAACCTCAAGATGGCCCCCAAGATGGCCCAAGAGGGCACCACGAGAGGCTCAATAATGCTCCAAGACGGCCCCAAGAGCGCTCCAAGAGCGCCCCAAGAGCGCCCCAAGAAGCGACTCTTTGGGCTCCCGAGGGGCAGCGCAAATTAATGCCCCCCTTTTGTTTGATCGATGTCCTCCAAGTTGGCCCCAAGAGCGCTCCCAAGGCTCCCAGGAGCGCCTCAAGAGGGCCCCAAGAGGCGCCCATGAGGCCCCAACAAGCGCCCAAGAGGCCTCCAAGAGGCTCCCAAGATCCCCATGAGGCACCAAGAAGCTCTCCGAGGCACCCAAGACGCTCTAAGAGGCGCCCAGGACCGCCAAGAGGCCCCCAAGACGCTCCAAGAGGCCTCCACTGGGGGACCCTTCCTCTGTGCTGCCCACTTCCCCGATCGAGGCAATTCCTCTGGGCATCTTTTCTGGATGGGCTGGTGGGGTTACTTTTTCCCCGCGGCCGCAAGCGGAAGCGCAGGCGGCGCCCGAAGTCAGCCCGGGCTACGAGCCAAACCAAATTACCTAAGCGCGCGAACTAACGGCGGCCGAAACTGCCGCCGAGGGGCGCCGAGGAGCGACGCCGGGGACCGAAGGCAGAACTGCGCAAGATGTGCCAGGTGTGCCATGCGGCTGAAGTGCAACCATTCCAAGGGCGAGACCACCGGGAAGGCAAACGAATTGTACCTTGTCGCGCCAGGCGCCGGAGGTAAACGAGCCACCCGAACTAAGTGCGGCATGGCGTGGGGCTGAGCAAGCAGCCCAGCGCACCTGGGTCGCACGCCAACAATGGCAACCTCAGGTGGTTGAACAAGAGTGCTAAACCACTCACGAGCAATCCGCGTGGAGGTGCACCCGGACATTGCAAGGCGGCAGCTGCAAACGCGGCCAGGCTGTGGCAGTGTCTGGGACCAGGGGCCAGGAACATGCGGGCATGCTAGCTGGAGCTGGCCGACGCGCAAGTCACCGGGACGCCAGGAAAACCTCGCCAGGCTCAAAGGAACCAGCACTGACACCAGCAGACGCCAGGGACTGAGGGAGCAAGCTCAGGAGCCGCAACCAGGCTGTGTTCGGCGGCAGGCTGGCGGGGTTACTCTTTTGCTCGCGAGCGCAAGCGGTGCGGCCGCGCGCCGTCGCCAAGGTCAAGCATGCCCAAACGCTGCGGCTGAAGACAGAAGCCGCGGGCAAGCGCGCTCAGAGACCTGAGAAAGCGAAGAGGAAGAACGCCGAGCCCACGCGCGGAGGGAACCTCAGCAGACGCGTCCGCGAAGAACTTGCACCAGCAACCTTCGCCCCGATGACATAGCCAACGCCAAACAAATCAACGACCAGGGCAGATCGCGACGCGCCGGCGCCGTCGTCAATACGGGTCTTGAGCACCTGCCACGTAGCAGCCGCACGAAGGGGCACTGACTCCAACGAACAGTCATCCACTCGGCCAACGAACCACGGTGCAACCGACGCGCGGGGCGGCAGGTGAGGGTCAGAGTAACGCAGTGGCGTCGGGGGCATCTTCCAAGGAGAGGCCCTTGTGCTTGCTGTCGCCGAGCCAATGTCACGGAATAACGCCGAGGGCCACATCGTAGAAGCGGACGCAGCCAGGTCGCAGGAGCTAGGCGACAAGCCCATGCACCTCCAGCGGGGGGGCAGCCGCAGGACGATGGACGGCCAGACAGCTCGGAACTGATCGATACATCTCCTGGCGCGCGCGCGCGCCGGAGGGGCGCTGAGGGTCAGGGCCGCACCGTGGATAGGGTCGCAGCTGACAGCCGCGGAAATATTGCGTCAAGGGCGGCCCGGGTGCCTCCAGCGGGAGGGCAGCCGCGGGAGGAAGACGGGGCGGTTGATTCAGGATGCTCATTGCCAGCTTGCCCCAGCGCCCCGGGGAGGGCGCCGAGGCCGCGGTGCACCGTGGCGGTCGCGCATAAAAGCGCAATGCGCGGCGTAGCTGCTTACGGCGCAGCCACTGAGCCCGCGCCCCGCCTGCGGGGGGGCAGCCGCAGGAGGGCGGGCGGGCCGGGAAGATCGGTCAACGAGGCGCCGCGAGGTACAAGCGCCCCCGGAGGAAGCGACGAGGGCCGGGCCATGCTGTTGAGGGGGGTCGCGGCCACCAGCCGCAAAGATAACGAAACTGGCGGGCGGGCCTGCGCGCCGCCTGCGGGGGGGCGACCGCAGGGGGGGGGGCGGGCGAGTCGGTCCAATGAATCCATGGCCCGCTGGCCCTAGCGCCTCGGGAGGGGGGCGCCGAGGGCGCGGGCGCAGTGCAGGTGGCGTTCGCGGCTAACAGCCGCAGAGCAAGTAGAGACAGGGTGGGCCCAGGCCTCCCGCGAGGGGGGGCCCGCGGGAGGAGGAGCGGCCAGGGCGGCTCGAGGGCGGGGCCAAGGGGCGGCGGGGGGGGGCGGCCAGCAGCCGCAGTAAGCGTGAACAGAGCAAGAGGCCGCCAGGCGGGAATCTGAAGGGCGCGGGCCATCAAGCCAGATGGCCAGCGAGGGCCAAGCGCCGGCGCGCAGGGCAGCGCAGGGCTGCAATGGGTGCCGCAGGGGCTCTAGCAGTGACGGGCGCCCGCGCGGAGGGGGGCCTATCCGCGAGCCGCCTGCGGCGTGCCAGGGGGGGCGGCAATCGCCCCGGGGGAGACAGGCCGCAAAGTGGCGCCCCGGAGGGGACTAAGGCCTAGAACGAGCCGGCAGCCCCAGCTGGGCACGCCCAAGGCGGCATTGGCGCGCGTGGAAGGGTGAGCCGACCAGCCTCGTTGGCCAGGAGGGGTTGGGCTCCGTGAGGCACGCTGATGCACAGTGCGGGGCGTCCGCGAGAGTCGTCGCGCGCGCCCGCTGGCGCGGCCTGGGCGGAACTTAGGGGCGCGCCCAGGGTTGGCGCGAGCCCGCGGCCCTTCGGGGTTCCACCGTCCTTGTTCAGCGGGGGTCGCTGCCTTCGCGGGGCCCCTTGCCTTTGGCCTTGCCAGGGGTGCCCTTGGCCCTAGCTCTGTCGCTGAACCGAGCGCGGACTGCGCCCCAGTTGACCCCCAGACGGAGCGCTTCGCCCATCTTGAAGACATCGCACTTGTGACTGGCCCATTCTTTGAGGAAGCAGGAATCGGGGTGCTGTCGCGTGGGGTCAGCGCAGATGCGGCCCGACGGCGGGGGATGTTTGGTCGCTCGCTGGTGCCATGCCCCGTCGAATTATTCGCCCAGGTCCTTCTGAAGTCGCTTCGCGGTCTCGGCAGGG